TGAATTTGTTTCTCTAGTCTACCTGGACTAACACACTCATGCATGTGAAAGCTGAACATTGATTAAGGAAGACCACAGAAGAATCAATGCATTTGATTTATAGTGCTGGCAAAGACTATCGAAAGTGCCACGGACTGCCAAACGAACCAATAGATCTATCTTGGAGGAATTATAGCCAGAATGCTCTTTAGAGGCAAAAATGGAGAGACTTTGGCTCATGTACATTGAGCATGTTGTCAAGAGAGGAGGCCAGTCCCTGGAGAAGGACATCAAGTTTGATAAGTGGAGGGACAGTGAAAAAGAGGAAGGCCTTCAACAAGATGGATTGACACAATGGCTGCAACAATGGGCTCAAATATAACAACAATTGTGAGGATGCCACAGGGCTGGGCAGTGTTTCACTCCATTGTAGATAGGGTCACTGTAAGTCACCTAACAGTGACACCTAACTGTTAGGTGTCTAACAGTTGGCACCTAACAACAATAACAGCAACAACAATGACGACAACGGCGCCTATCTTAGGCATAGGATGTGAGTAATAAGTAGAAGTGGTAGTATAAGTAAGACTTGACATGTAGCCCTGGCAACACAATGAATGTGATGGAATGGATGTTAACCAGAATGGAAGAGCATCAAAAACAAGCTAGCTGGGTGGAATACGGAGTTTAGTGATTGACTGACAGAATTTGAGGTTATCAGGGAGCATCTGAGAAGGGAATGGGGTGGGATGTTTATAGTTTAGGACAGAGATACAGACTTGGGATTTCTGTAGGTAGATAGCTTTCTTTAGGCTGGAAGAGGTGCCAGCAAAAAAAAAAAAAGACTCAGGAGGAAGCAACAGAATGAAGACGAGGGCACCTGTGCGTTGTGAGGGCAGAGGATGCGGGGACCCTCCCTCTCAGGATGTACTCTTATGAAATACCATTAGGGCTTCTTTGTTTCACCGATTCTACTTTGGAGAAGATACCGGTTTTAAAAGGAGGGCAGAAGACACCTGGCCAGGGCGGGGTCTCTCCTTATGTCCCAAGCACATGAGACAGTCTCACCATTCTTCCGAGGGATACTCCGGCAATACTTCTTCCAACATAAGTGTGTTTGTTCTTGTGGAAATCCACGGGAATACTTAATATTCCTCGCTGGCACCACAATCCAAATGCATCAATTCTTCTTCAGTCTTATCTACTCACTGTCCAGAAGATGGGGTAGAGGCTGTAAAATTGCTAAATTGAAGTACAGGCCCAGTCACTTGTCATCGTTACTCCTGAGGGGATCTTGGACTTGATTCCATTAGGAGGCAGTTGTATTTGCCCAGATAAAAACCTAAACACTATTGTCTTGCTCTCGTTAACTTTCTCCCTAACTACCTAGGAGAGAGAGAAACCTTAGTGGATATTTTATAAAAATGCAATTCAAAGCAAAACTGACTCCCTGCTGGTGAATATATTATCCTCATCTACATAGTACGTTAACCAGTTAATTGACGACCTACTCATATGTTTAATCAACCCAATTTATTTATAAGTATTTATTGAGTGTCCTTTATGTATCAGCACTGTGCTATTGTTATAGTTAGGTGTCCTGGGTGGGTTCTAATTCATAGCAACCCTATGTACAACAGAACAAAATACTGACCGGCTTGGGTCACCCTTAACAGTTGTGCTGATGTAGGAGCCCTGGGAGTGTAGTGGTTCCGAGTTGGGCTTCTCACTGAAAGGTCCGCAGTGACCATCACCAGCTCTACTCTTGGAAATATTTTCAGTCTCCGAACCTACAGGGGCAGCTCTACTCTGTCCTAGAGGGTTGCTATGCAGTGGAATTGGCTCGATGGCAGTGAGTGGGTTTCAGCACTGTGCTGGACATTGAAAAATTATTCACAGGTCATTTCTGCTCTGAGGTTAAAGTGAGTGGGGGCTTCAGAAAGAAAGTATCACGAACACAGAGGAAAGGCATCTTTACCTGATAGGGGCTCAGAAGAACTTTCTGAAAATGATCCTCTGAGTTT